TCTCTGACGTCTTATATCTAGTCTTTAGCTTCTGCTTTACTTTTTAGCATTAAATGGAAAGAATAAGGTTACTGCTTTGGCATTTGAAGTGATGTATGTAAAAGATGCAGATGAATGCATAAATGCAGGCAATCTATTTTCTTCAGATGTATTTTTTTTCTGGTTACTTTAGGAGCTTATGAAAGGTTTCTCTTTGGGTATGCTAATACTCTTATGTGTAGGCACATGAAAAGAAAACTATATTACAGTTTTTCTTCTTGATCAGAGGAGATCTCAGGTTTTTATCAGTTTTCCTTAGGTGTTCTTTTATTCTATACAGTTTTGTCTTGCCTTTGGGATTTGCTAGCCAGGAGTCAGAATTGTTCAATGCCTCTGACTAGAAAGAAGTGGTTCTGGTCATTCTTGTGTGCATCTTGGCTTGAGACTCTTTCGTATTTTCCTTAGTGTCTTTTCTGCTTAGTTTTGTGATGGGGCAAGTTGAATATCATACTTGTCAGTAGCAAACTGGATTTGATAAAAATTCATCATGTCATTTTTTTGATATTTGTGCTTGAAGTGATGCACAGCAGTCCACTATAGTTGTGTTTTCTTTTGATTTATGCTGTAACAATTGTTAAATTGATATTTTTCTACTTAAAATTAATTTGTTCTCTTTCAGCAGGTATAATCCTTTGTTTCAACTCATACCTTCAATGATAATCTAATATGTTAGTGCAGCAAGCTTTTAAAACCATTTCTGGTGGCAAGCAGAAGTGATGCTGATGTCAACAGAATCTCCCACATCTGATGACCACACCATTCTTCAGGGATTCCCTGAATGTGAACCCTTTTGACTGTAATTGCAAAACCTTCACTCCATTTCATACATGATCATCATCATCATCTGTCTAATATCTTATGTATGTTCCTTCACCATACTTACATCACTTTCTTCCTCCTTAAAAATAAAATTTATTTTGTCACTGTGCACCTGTATATTGTTGGGAAAACTGTTTTTAGTAAGGAGGAATTGATATTTCAAGCAGTTTAAAACACCTTGTTAGTGGTAATATTTTTTGAATTGCAAATGCAACTGAGGTGGCTATGAGCACTTTTTCAGAGTACTTACCCAAAGAAGTAGTTCTCATAGAGAAACAGGCATAATGGCTTTTTATAGCCCTTTTTCTTTCTTTTTCTTCAAAAGATGGGAGTCAAATCTTTCATGCAGAGGCTTTTCTAACAAACAGTAGTACAATAGAAACAGATACTGCTTATTCTGTAGAAGTACTTATAAACTGCTAGTTAAGTAAGAAATTCTCCTTGGAAGCTGGAAAGCTCAGTTATCTGGGCTTCTACCCCACTGGGAAACTGCTGAGCTAGTCGAGAAAACCCTGTGTAGCAAACAGGAAGATTGGTTGTCCTGCCAGCTATGTTCTCCTACTGTGTGAAAGTAACTTAAAATTTAATTTAGTATCATGTTGAGAAATTAAACAGCTAATGTATTTTATATTCTCTGCTTTAATACTAAGCAGTAAAAATCAGACATTTTGCTAACGCTGCATGTAATTGCAGAAAATGTCTATAAGATGAACATGTTAGGAGTTCTGTGCTTCACTGATTGAAACAGTTAAAGTAATGGTGTTTAAACAGATTTAAATTTTTTATTATTTCTGAGTTCCTTGATAAATGTTTTCATTTTTAAATACTGATGTGGCATTTGGAGAGAAACAGATCCTTTTAACTTCAGTAATTATATTTAGGGACAAAGGCAAACAACTAGCTAAACCATAGAATAAAGGCTACAAGTTGGTTTTTTTCCCCCAAAAGATAAGATTAGTGTTTGCTTTGTCAGTCCTTTGTCAAAGGACATCATACCAATACTGTCAGGTTATAGACACTTGTCACAGGACAGCTCTGTGTTCATTGCTTTGGAAATAGCTGTTCCACTGATATTTGAAGTCTGTGAGTTCCTGAAGGAAGAATACTCTTAATTGTCCTCTTGGGATGTGAAGCCGGTGACTTAGTGTGGAAGGAAAAATGAGTGGGACTGATTGACAGATGCTCAGTCTTGGGCAAATTTTTTTGTTTAAGAGTGTTTTGTTATAGTACTGTGGAAATCTGGCAAAGCTGGAGCACACCCCCCTTCAGGATTTTTTTAAACATAAATTGGCATAAGGTTCTATACTCCTGCTACTCCATTTTACTGGTCTCCTGAAGATTAAAATAGGTATTTGTCCAGATTCTTGTATAAGCAGAGTGATGGTGATTTGGGGTTTTTTTTGGTCTTCACTTAAACTATCTACCCTAGGAAGTAATAAAGTCTGGAAGTGGCATTTAGTGCCGTGGTTTAGTTGACAAGGTGGTGATAGGTCTTAGGTTGAACTTCATGATCTCAGAGGTCTTTTCCAACTTAGCTGATTCTGTGATTCTCTGAATACCTCTTAATTCCACAGAAAGTGTGCTTTAAGGTTATACTGAATAAGGTTCCTGCTACGGATTTCTCTCTTCAGATGAACAAATTGAAGTAAACACCCAATGATGGGTATGTAAACAAGTCACAGGTGCAAGATGGTGATAAAATGAATTTGTATTTGAAATATGAACCCTCTCAGTATTTCATATTATGTACAAGATCAACATTTGTAATTGTTAGATATGTATAGTGTGTCTCAGATCTGAGGACATCTTAGATTTGACTTGATGGACTATAGAATGGTCTTAACAATTATCATCTGTTGTAACATCTATTTATTTACTAACCTTTGATCAACTGTTATAAATGAAATCCTAATATGGCTGCAATATGTTTATGGTGAAGGAACATGCCTTACCAAAATTTCTGCATATGACAAAAGGTGAAGGACACTGTTCCTTAATGGCTTGGTACAAAATGAATTTTGCTGTTGAAGAACTTTTAGAGACCTTTTTTGGGCATTGGCTGTCACTTTAACATTCAGCAATTAAAACTGATTTTAAAAGTTTGCTGTGCTACTGTTATGAGTGAAGGTCACGTATTTATTAAACTGTTCTTCATTTGAAACTTGAGGTGTTCTTTTGGTTGAAAATCTAGATAACTTCCATGAACAAAGTATTTAATCTTTATATATATTATTGATTATGCAGCATTTTTATTACTTCTGCATGTGTTCAGTGCTTGGTGTTTAAAGGTAAGTATATGAATGGCTGGATAATCTGAGAAGAAATTTGTAAATCATTACCCAAGCATTGCATATGTAAAACTGTTTGTGGTGTTTGCTGCCTGGAAGATTACATGCCATACAGGAGACTGTTTCTGAAGGATACTCAAGTTTGCAACATTAAGATAATGATATTGAAGATTTGATGTCAGCCTTCTACTGGATTGTCTTATTTAAAAGGATCGTATTTGGAAAAAAAGCTACATAGTTGTTTGTGTAGGAAAAACCCACATATTTTAAATCAATATCAATTAAAAATGGGATTAAAAAAAGCCCAAACCGATTTAGATTAGTGGCTGGGTTATGCTGTGGCAGTTATCTTTTATGCTTAAGATGATGTGTTTGTTGTTATATGTTGTTATATGAAAATTTCGATACTGTATAACTGCTGCCACTGACTATGGAATCTGTCAAAATCTTTTACAGACTATGTGTCCTGTCTGTTTGGACCGTCTGAAGAATATGATCTTTCTGTGTGGCCATGGAACGTGTCAACTTTGTGGAGACCGAATGAGCGAATGCCCTATATGCCGCAAGGCTATTGAACGAAGGATTCTTTTGTATTAGATAGTGGAACCAGTGTCTTTTATGAGGTGGTGAATTATTAAGGTCACTTTGATGGTTTAAATCTCTGTAAGTTTAAAAGGCAGTAAAGGGTTCTAATGAAAACATTTCTAATACTGTAGCACAGGTTCATTACATGGTAATTGTTTAAAGACTGTGAACACACCAAATAAAAGAACAGTATTTGAACAGTCAGCTTTTAGCTTTACTCTTCTAAAACATCTAAGCCTGAAGCTAATTTAAAGCAGTAGTTTTTTCATTTTTTGTGTGTCTTCTTCCCCTTAAAGTTTAAAGGGACATTCTTGTTTTGGTTTTGTTCATGTGTACCATATACGTATCAGATGTCAAGTGATGTAAGGGATTTTTTTTTTTTTATATTGTCAGTAACTACCAAACATAAATATTTAGGATTTTTTTTTGCTTTACGTTTTTCTGGAGAATGTTGACACATTTCCTGTGATAGTTCTGATTCACAATAATTTCCATCTTGAAATATCATCATCATCATCATGGCTGGGCTTCGCGAATGAAGATTTGAGAAAGGCTCTACCCATGCTTGCTACAAGCGCGCTGAAATATACAATCATGAAAAATCAATACAAATTATATACACACTAGTAATAAATATACCATTCCATAAGATGAGGCTTCAGAATACAATTCTAAGGTAATTCTAACTTTATCATGCCCTTTGTTGCTGAAGATGGGCTGGGAAGGAAACAGTAACAAGAAAAATCTGTTTTAGAAACACTATGTTCCCAAAACTGCAGTTTAGTCTAACAAATTTGAGCTAGCTAACTGAAACAATGAACATTGTAATTCTGCTAGTCACATGACTTTGTACAGAATTTCTTTTAACCTGACTGGAAAGGAAAATGTTTGAGCAGTTGGTAGTTATCCATTTCAGATGAGTGAATTTGATCAGTTGTAGAGGAACATACATGTGGAGACTTTTAAAAATTGTGGGTATATAAATATGGAAAAAATAGAGTTTTTGCAACATTTCCTCTCTTTTTAAGTGGGTTTTATCATATCCAGGCAAACAGGGTCAAGAGCAAAAGAGAAGATTTAATACTGCTTATTCATCTGAGTTGGGTGTTAACGCCAGAACTTATCTGTGAGCATTTCTGGGTAATACTGAAAATGAAGATATTGCTGACAGAACAGTGAATTTTGTGAGCCTTGCCTAGGTGAGCTGAATTTGGCTAAAGGAGTTTGCTATCACTGACAGTAAAGAGCTGTTCCTGACCTCTTTGTGACAAAGAGCTGTTCTGACCCCAAAAATGGTACTGGCAGCAACCGTAGACTATTAACATTTTGATAACAAATACATCCTTTCATCATTTTTGATGGTAGAAAGTATGCTGATTTGAGGATCTCTTATAGCTAAAAGGGTTGTGTGATTCAACAGTTTTCTGAGTGTACAGTTCATGTAGCCCTTTGCCATTGTGCAGACTTCACTTGGATGTGCTCTTGCAGGACAGTAAAGAAATCCACGCTGGAGTCATTTGGGTGCCTTACTTGCAGCTAAGATTAATTTATCACTTAATTCTCATTGCATGTCAAAAATGTGGACAAAGAGATAGTTCAGGGAAAGATCCAAGTAAGGATAAAGGCATAAAATTGTGATCTCTTCAGTTAAATCAGTCTGTCTCTTGAAGCTTATGTTGATATGCCTGAATTGTGCAAATGTTGGCAAAAGTCTCAGAAGAATGGTACTAATAAACTGTAAAGACAGACAAACCTTTAAGCAATAAGATTTAAACACTGAATAGAGTTTCAACCACAGTGATTGATTGGAAAAATGTATGTAGAGTAGCTTTTAACATTGCAAAGTGATGTAATACACAGCCTTTCTGTAGTCATCTTTAATCCTGCTCCAGCATTGCAAATGTTTACTCATTGGGCAAAATCACAATCTAGAGTCATTATAGTAGTCTGGTTTGTTTTGTACATAAGTAGTCATCTGTTCTCAGATAATCTGCGTTTTCGTATTCTTGGCAAAGTGAAATAGCCTTCCTTTGTTGCTTCTTGGGTTCCTATTCTAAAATACCAGAATCTCAAGGAGCTTTGGTAAGTTTCTGATGTAAGCTTCTTTTTTGGTTCAGCATTTTGCTATCTCCACTTGAACTCTGAGTGCACCTGAGTGTTCACTGCAATTTTCATTTGACCAATGTGCATGTCACTAAGTTTGAGGATGGTTCTGGTTTTTTTGGGGGGGGGGGGGGGGGGGGGGGGGGGGGGGGGGGGGGGGGGTTGGGGTGGGAGGGTGGTTTTCTTGTGGTTTGATTTGGGGGTTTTTTGGTAGCATGTTTTACAGCTGAACTTTCTATGGTAGGCTTCAGTTTCCTGTCAGGCTTCCCCTGGAAATACTTCTTTAATAGGATGCCATTTGACAATCAGTTCTGAATTTTAGCATGTAGTACATCAGATCTGTACCTTGATTTCCTCTGTCTCTGGTAGACATATTTTGAATATTGTGTCCTCTTTATTATCCATGGGGACCTCTACAAACTGTTGTCAACACAAAGGCAGGGTGGATTTCTTCTTGATAGTGCAACTCAAAACTGAAACTTCAATATAGCAGTTGGCATTTTCTTAATTCTTTTTCAGTAAAACAAGCCAGAATTACTTGAAAGTATTCCAGCTTATCATGAATTGAAAAATTGAGCTGAGTAAGAACTGATCTAAGGGATCCTGGGTAGGAAACTGGAGTCGAATGTTAAATACTAGTTGACTGCAGAAGGCACATACCATAACATAGGTGAGTTCTCTGTTAGGCCTGTACTTTTCAACAGAGAAGCTTTAGGTTACTTTATAACATTCTCAGTACTTGAATGCCATCACAGTCCTATGGAAACAGAGACAATGAAGGTATTGCTCGAGGAGCTGACTTAGTCTTCTGTACTGGAATTACAGCAGATATATGTGATTGCATAGGAATTTTGCGATTGGACTCATTTGGCAGTGTTGTGTGCTAATTGAAACTGAAGTATGTCAACTTGATGCTGTTATGGTGCTACCAGAAACAGCTGAATTAGAAAAACTAGGTAAGTTTACCAACAGTTATCTAATAGTTCAACTAACAGTTGAACTATTAGATACAGTTGATAGAGTTGAACAGTTCAACTAACAGTTGAACTATTAGTATAAGCCTCTTATTGAAAGGTGGAAAAGCGGTATCTTGTCTTGGGTAGGCTACACAGTGTTTGCCTTTCAAAAACCTAACGAGGAAAAATGTTTGCAAAGCCAGTATAATTTCTTGAAATAGACATTTATATTCACACATTGGATTATGATGTAGAAAGCGAACTACTGTTGTTGAGGACCTAGTAAGTTTGTTCACTCTCCTTACTCTGGTATCATCCATGCAACATGCGTAGACTAAAAATGTTTAACTGGGTAACATGTAGTAGAAGGATGAAAAACAGAAGTTCAGCTGGAAGCCAAAGGGTATTATAACAAATAATAGAGTTGAGGATGTCACTGTGCCTCTGTCTTCAGCAAAAGATTAATATGTAAGTCTCACTTGAGCAAAGTGAATGAGAAAAATCAGTAAGGTGTTTAATATACTGTAAAATCATAAAATGCGAGAGTTGCAAGGTTTATTATTATTATCTCCCGGTATTTAATAGCAGTTTTGAAATTAAATGGAATGAAATATCTCTATTTGTTTCTTGAAACAAGAAGGCACCTAATAATGCGTATCATTCAGATGTGAGGTGTGCTTAGATGCTTAAGTAAAATACTTTCTTTTCCTTTTAGTAAAATACATAAATACTGTCACATCAATACACAGTGATTTAAAGTAGAAAGACAATCTAAGAGGCTAACAGATAACGCTAAATAGTTGTAGTGTGTTAACATTTGTATAGCTATGTTTTGACTTTCTTCCCCTCCCAATCCTTCTTATCACTTACTGTTCCCCAAGCTCACTTCTCAAAATTTTGGCTGTTACTACAATCCCTTTTTTCCTGAAGTGAATACTGAAAACTACACTGGCAAAATAGTAAACAAGTTACTTTGTACATGTGTAAGTTCATTTAGAAGGTGTTGTTCTTAATTTGGACTGGGTGTGGATATAGCAGATTTGCACAAGTACTTGTGCCTTGTTAGAGTAGTCTTACAATTGGTATTTTAACCTCTTTTAAAAACATGAAATGGTCTTTCAAAAATAATCCAAATACTTATTGTGTAGATATTTTCTAGAGATTAAGGTTTATGTATGTGTAATTATCTTTAGCAGTATTAATTGCAGTTTGTGTAAACATTAAATTGTTTGAAGAAGCTGCTTTAAGCTAGTGATCTGAGCTTCCTCTATAAAATTAAATGTACCAGAAACTTATTTTACTCTTCCAGTAGCAGCTGATGAACCGAAGAGCCTATCCTGTTCTTTGTGCTGCATGGGTCAACTTTTCACTCAAAAATGCCCACAACACTTACAGCCTAACCTTTAGCAGTGCTACCTCCTTTTTGTCAAAGTGCTGAATTCTTCTCTAGCTGGTCTTTGTCTTTGGGAAGGGATGGGGAATGCATCAGTTTTGTTTTGCTTCATCAGTTTTGATGTCTGAGTACATTTTCAAGGTTTTTTACTGACTGTATAAATTACATACAATAGCAGTGTGTGATTTGCCACAATGTACATTGTATAGCTTTCTTGCATAAGTTTACTGGAATTCATACTGTTATCTTTTTGTGCATTTCATAACTTTTTTGTGTTGACAAAGCAAAACTGTTATCTGCAGAAGTTTTAGTATGTGCCATTTTTATAGCTAACCCTGTGGTAAATACGCAAGTTCTGACTCAGGGCTTTTCAACAACTTAAACATGTTCACAGTATTCGTCAGCACATCTTGGAGAATACTGGAGATTTAATGACTGTATAGTGCCTTGATAGAATGGGCATCAGCCATAGAGTCTTTACAGAATGCAAGTCTCTTTTGAATTCAGTTCATGAGTTGATGTTAATATAATTGTAATAGCCCTGCCATGGGTTTATAAACTTGTATATACTTTCTGTAAAGGAAAATCAGCAAATTTAGGTATTGTTAGGCTTTCTGAAACCTGTTTGATTGTTTGATTGTGGTCATGGGGGTCTAAAGGGCATAATATTGAAATTTACAGAAGCAGCTTTTGTGTCAAAGATGTGATGAAATGTTCTGTATGCGACATCTTTAGTGTGAGAGAGAGGTCATTGTCTAAACAAACATGTAAAAGTACCTGCTTTACTCTGATCCTATAAGTTTTTTATAAGAGAGAGAAACAACTGAAACAAATCAGTATGTTTGCATGCCATTTCATAGTTAGAAAACTGTTTTGGTCTCATTTTGAGCTTTTAGGAAATACTTACTTTGTCCCAAGCTTAGTGTCTTTATGAATGCAAACTATTAATGTTAGAAAACAGGTTTTACTGAACGACAGGAACATTTTTGCTTTTGTTAAAATCAACTTTGTATTTTCAGGAAATTGTAGATTTTGTCATGACTGTTTGTTGGAGAATTTTAAGGTTGCTTGTAAGGATTTCTGTATGCAAATAGCATTATATAATTGTTTCCTTTAAAACTGCTTAGCAAGGTCTAAGTTTTTGAAAGGAAATGCTGATGGTTAATAAAACTTGTCATATAAGACGTACACTGACTTTTTCAGAAGCTTTGACTTTCAAGTGTAATTGGACTGAATTAATACTGATGCACACAGCATTGGGAAAGTAGTGGTGGCTTATTTGTCTTCCTCGTTATAAGTTGTAATGATGTTAGATGTCACCATGGAATTAGAAAATTGTATGCTTGAAAGAATGTTTGCAAACTCAGTTACTTGTTGGCATACAGTGTTTAAAAGTGCATCAGACTTTACTGAGAAAGTTTTGCAGTCCAAACTTTTTAAAAGAACTGGTTCTCTTTTATCTCTGAAGAGTTTATAGAAGCATCAGAAGTGCTACGTGCCTTTGAATCTCCCATATACTCAGACATTGTTGAAGCAGCACACTAGAAGTACGAGGGGTGGATTATGTTGTAACAACAAAAAGGTAGATTTAAAATTTTTACGTGTGACATATGTGCAAATTTTTTTGTAAATATGCAGTTCATAGTACTGACTAGAGCTGCTGTTAAGTGTGTGTTAGACTCTGTGTTTACTTATTATTGAATGGCCTTTCCAGTTCTGGCTACGTGAATGTGATCGTTTAAACATCTGCCAGATACAGTAACTTCCATATTCTGAGACAGCAGATGCTGCACCACAGTTTATACTTCTAGGATTCAGTTTAATGGATGCATTTAAAAGAAAAGTGTATGTAATCAAAGGCAACAAAACCAACCTGACTTAAATGACTTAGTGTTTTAATTTATCATAGTGTACAGGTGAAAAAATGAACTGACAGAATAAAAACTTTGTTGCT